TAGCGGCGCGCGATGTTGCTGGCGGCCGTCAACAGGCCGCCGCAAAACGGCGACTCGCGCACGTCGCCCATGGCCGAGTTGTGCGACTCGGCCGGCGAGCTGCCGCAGTGCCCGTACCAGCCGCCCGCCGTGACTGGGTACTGCGTCTCGTCGCGGATTTTGCCGAGGTTATCCGCAATGGCCGGCGGGAACGTGGCCTTGATCGTCGCGAGCTTCTCAAGCGTCGTCGCGGCGAACGCCTTCTCGTACAACTCGCCCGCCTCTTGCCCGCCGCCCTTGCCGCGGCGGCCGCGAGCACGTCCTCGTCCAGGCCGCCGATGTCCTCGTCCTCGTCTTCGTCTTCGTCCTCGTCCTCCAGGCCGCCCGCGCCGCTGTCGCCGCGCTCGCCGCGGAGCTGCACGAGGTTGTCGTCGTCGTCGTCCTCCTCCTCCTCCTCCTCCGCCTCCTCCGCAGAATCCTCGTCGCCCCGCGCCGTCGAGGACGGCCTTGCGCTTGCGCGGGGCCTTGCGCTTGCGCTTGCGCGTGTCCTCTCGTCGAAGATCTCTTGCAGCGCCGCCACCATCTGGCCCTTCGTGCAATGCTGTGCGGACGGCACCTGGTTGGCCTTGCAGGCCCTCTTCAACTCCCTGGAGGAGAGCGACGCGGACACCGAGGCGTCCATGCTCCCCTTTCCTTAGGAAACAACACCGCACTGAGAAAAGATCGCTAATCACTATCAGCTTAGATCGCTATCGAAAACACATCTTAAAACTTGATTTTTCATGCCACGTAAGCCCGTCAAATGACATCCGACGTGTGTTTACTGTATAGTCTGAGTCAGAATCAAATCGTTCTTATTGAGACAAGGAGAGCTGTGAGCAAGATAAGGTTTGAGTCGCAAGCATCTCGCCGTCGCGCCGCTTGTCGTGATCCGACTCGGCGCGCACGGGGCCGTCGCGAAACGCGCCGCGCGCCAGCGGTTCGGCCAGTTTTTTTTAGACTTCCCCTTTTTGAGAACATATGTCCATTTTTGAGGCACTACACCGCGCGAACGACGCGGGCTCCGTTGGACCCTAAGATTTATATCGGATGAGCCTCGCCTCCCCAAGCGATGAAGCCCTTAGGGTCCAAAGGAGCCGCCCCCCCTCCGACGAACGAGGTCCCCAAAGCTACCTTCGGCCTGTGGACTTTCGAAAACTAGCGAGTCTGAACTTCAAAGATAACGGGCTTGAATTTGCAAATCCTTGCATCGAAAATTTGGAATCTGTAACCGTTCCGAAAAAGTTGTTTATCGATATTTTTGAAACACGACCTAAGCTGGTAGTGTCGAGAAGGAATTGCGGTGCCCATCCTAATAAAAAAAGATTTGGTAGATACCGTCTTAATAAACCCCGGCGGTGACCATCCTAATAAAGTAACTATCCGCAGTGACCATCCTAATGAAATGACTTGCGATAGTGACCATCCTAATAAATTAGGTTTGAGCAGAGACCATCGTAATACTATAACTTCGGCAGAGACCATCGTAATAAATTAGAGTGAGCAGAGACCATCGTAATAAAAACTATCCGCAGAGACCACCCTAATAAAGTGAACTATTCGCGCGCACTGTCCTAATAAAAAAACTTGCGCAGTGACCATCGTAACTTTGTCTCATAATTTAACTTGTTCAGAACTCGTTCAGAAAATGGCAAATATAATTGAGAACCCGAAGGGTCCTTGCCGTTTAATCAACGTCAGTTTACGGCAAGGGCCCTTCGGGTCCTTTGATTGAAGGATTACCAAGGGCAATTTTGTCTGTCCGTCCGTCTGTTGTCCGTCCGTATGTCTGTCCGTCCACGGGCAAATCCGCGAGGTTCCGCCTTTGGGAGGAATGGGCAGCAACTCAGCCGATTCGAGATTGGTTGTTGATGCGATCGCTAAAATTGGGAATGGAGGTCGAGCAGGAGCCTCATTGGAATCATCATAGAAGAAGTTTTTGGTCGCAGGTTCGAATCTGGTCGGCCGCAAAATTCAGCGATTAGTTAAATAATTTTAATTATTTACGTGGGCATCGCAATGGGATTTGTCTGTATCCTTCGCTCGAAGTCGGGTCCTCCGTGTGCCTCCGGCGCGCTCTTGTAATATTAGACAGGTTCACCTCATTTAACTAGTTCAGAACTCGTTCAGAAAATGACAAATACACAGTTCAGACTCAGAGTTCAGTTTAACCAGTTCAGAACTAGTTCAGAACTAGTTCAGAACTGTTCTCAACTGAGAAACCCCGCAAATGTGGCTGTCTCAATAGTTCAAAACCAGATTAGGTTCGAAATGCCGCGAAATGCCGCCGGTGGGGTTCGAACCGGCTCACCTTGATTTCGATGGGACGTGACTGCAATCGCCAGAATAAAGATGATAAAATGCCGCCGCCTCCGGGGCTGAAATCAAAGTGCAAATACGATTTCTGAACTCTTCTGAACAATCGCCTTAACTCTTATTTGCGTACGAATTTCGAACTTGTTAAATAAAGTGAACCTGTCTATTGAGGGAGCTATTATTAACTTTTGGTTGCTACGGGGATGCACGTCTTTTGGCAGCGTCACGCGCTGTACGGCGCGCGCGGCTCGGGGCGGAGAAGAACACAGCGATTCGGCCGCCGCGACGGCGGCTTCCGAGCTTTCGAAGAAGGTCGCGCACGAGAAATTCGTGGAGGATCTCGAGCACTGCGTTCTGTTGTTTTGCCAAGTGGGCGGTCACAGGGGCGAAGAGGGGGCTTACGCGGCGCGTGTCATGGACGAGCAGGGCGCGGACGAGCAGTGGCAAGGGGAGCTCCAACGATCTCCGTAGAAAGAGGACACCGAGTATACCTGGCGGATGGGGTGCGTCCGACGCGCCCGACGAGGGCGCGGGCCTACGGTATAGAAGAATTGCAAGCCCCTCTCGAGGCTCATTGTCAGCCGGCCAAGATCTCACAGAACACCTGAAACAAAATTCACAGAGGAGCCTGAGGCAATCAAAATTGAGGACCAATCAAATCATTTGCTTTCATCGAGCGCTAGTAGCGATTGCAGCAGCCGAGTTACTCGAAGCGGCCGCATCGGTGGGGCCCCGATGCGACCCCGAGACGTACCAATCGGCTGATGGAAACCAAACAGAACGAGGATGGCCCGGGGCTTGCAGCTCCCCGCGACCAAGAGCATTATTGCCTCTCGAGCCCGGCTGTCCAAGGTGGGCTGGGATACAAACATTCAAGGGGTCAACGACGCTGTATGATGGGGAGAGAAAGGAGTGAACGGTCATGGTGGGAGTGGGCTTACGCGACGCGTGTCGTGGACGAGCAGGGCGTGGACGAGCGGTTACACGGGGAGCTCCGAGGATTTCCGTAGAAAGAGGACACCGAGTATACCTGGCGGATGAGGTGGGTCCGACGAGGACGCGTCATCATGCATGGTGGGAGGAAGGAGTGGGCGGTCACGAAAGGAGCGAAGAGGGGATGTCCAACGCGACGCGTGTCGTGGAAGAGCAGGGCGTGGACGAGCATTGACAATGAGTCCACCGGAACTGAAGTAGATTTCCGTCTGAAAAGGGGACGCCGCGCATACCTGGCGGAAGGAGGAAGTCGGACGAGGGCGCGGTCCTAAGACACAAAGGATTTCACGCCACTCTCGAGGCTCGAGGGGGTGCACCCAGTCACTTTCGACCGCAGATGTTCTTGATAAGTACTTTCAAGTGCTTGGTCCCAAGACTTAGTGCTCACGGTTCGGAAGCTGACGAGATAGGCAGGCTGTATACTGCCTGGGACCAGCGCACTCTGAAGAATAGAATTTACGCGGCGCGTGTCGTGGACTAGCAGCGCACTCTGAGAGGCGCGTCGACTCGCATGTCCGAAGACTCTGCCGCTGATACGCGAGGGGAGGTAGCACCCAGCCTGAGTCACACCTGTGGACAGGGCTTGTTTAAAGGGGAGGGTTGAATTCGGATTTTCCAGCTACAGTGTCGGGAATCATCGAGATCGGCGATTGGTGAGAGATGCGATCGCCGTCTTCAGCGGTAGCCAAGTCGATTCACCGGGCGTCGACCGGGCCGCCCGCTCTTCGTCCGCCGCGCCGCCGCGGCGCATACGACGCGCGTGAGCTCCCCGTCGAGGCGCCTCTGCAAGGTTTCGTTTGGTTCTCAGCGGAGACGAGGGTTTGATTTTCTCCAATTGAAAAAAAAAAGGGTGGCGTGGTTGGCCATTAAATCTTGTCCTAGGCCGGTTCTGAAGGAAGGGCCTGGGCCGTTCTGGGTGTGATGCTACTCTCACCTCCACGTATAGACACGCTTGGCGCCTGGTACGAGGCTGGTGTCGGTCCAAAATGACTTTCCACGTAAACACACCCTGAGGCAACACACGGGGGACGGGATGATTTCCTGAGATATGATGCGGGCGCACTGGATGCATCGGCAAGTTCTTTAGCTCAGTGGTAGAGCACTACCCTCGTAAGGTAATGGTACACAATTCGATCCTGTGAAGGAGCTAAATTATGGTGCGAATAATTTTTTAATTGAGACGACCCCAACTGTTATTTTTTTGGCACGGCCGTATCAAGTCCCTTTTTTTTAAAGTTCCGGGTTTCCCGAAGCTCAGTCCTTCCGAAAAGGGTACTCGACGAACGCCCCGCTACGCCGGTGCTGGAGTATTGTCGCAAGAGGCAGAGGCTCCTGCTGTTAATGCCAGTGGCCCTGGCTCTTCTTCGGGCGTGGCGTCTGCGTGTCTCCGAGGGCAGCGCTTCGGCGTCTGCGCCTTTCCGGGCCCGCCCACGCTCACGCGGAGAGGATGCCGCACTCGGTGTCGTAGGAGCAGCAGGCGACGCCGTTGCCGTCTGGCGCGGTGGCGACGTCGACGACGGCTTTTGTAAAGTGCGACACGACGCGGCCGGGCTTGCCGCAGGAATCGGCCGTGTCCCAGACGTCGACGCCGCAGTCGCTCGAGGCGACGAACATGAGGCGACCCGAGGCGGAGAACGCGACTGCGTTCTTGCGCACGTCGCCGGTCTCGCAGGAGAACGCAGCCACGGGGCCGCGCGCGCGCACGTCGTAGAGGAAGCAGCCGCCGCGCTCCGTGGCTAGCCCGACGCCAAAGCCGTTGCTCTGGTACTTGCAGCCGTTGACTTCGGCGCCGTCGGGCGCCGCGCCCGGCTGCCGCAGCACCAGCGCGGGCTTGGCCGCAGAAGTGGACCAGACCATTACCGTGCCGTCCGACGACGACGAGATGAACTGCTGCGCCGACGACGGGTGCAGGTCCACAGACGTCACGTCCTGCTCGTGGCCCCGGAAGACGGCGACGCGCTTGTCCTCTTCGGTGGCGCGCTCCGTGACCTGCGGGGCCTTTGCGCTCCCGGCGGCCGTGCGACGCGGCCCGAACGACGCGGTCTGTGCGACGCGGCCCCGATCGACGCGGCCCCGGAGCCCCTCGGAGGCGCACCTTGAAGAGGCCGAGCGTTGCGTCGCCGCTCGCGGAGACGATTGTTTGCTCGTCGAGGAAGCGCGCCGCGGAGACGTAGCCGGCGTGGCCCGCAAAGTCGCACTTGAGCTTGGTGCCGGCGTAGAGCGTGACCGTGTTGTCGAGGCCACCCGAGGCGAACTTGGTCGCCTCGAGCTTACTCACCTCTGCGAACATGGCCCACTGCGACCTTAGTTGGCACATTTGCTTCTTCGTGCCCTGCTTCGCGTCCCAGGTGATCGCGTGGCCGTCCTGCGAGGCCGTGAGGAGCTTGCGCGAGTCGTCGTACCAGGAGCAGCTGACGCACTTGTTGGTGTGGCCCTTGAGCACGCGGCGCATCTTGACGCGGTGCGCCGGCTTCGAGCCTGATAAGGCGCGCTGCCGGTCCGCCGGAGAAGCGGCCTCTTGCGGGGGAAAGCCACGCGCCACCCCAAAGCGCGCCGCCCCGCCGCGAAACGCTAGAGGCCCCCGCGCTCGGGCGGGAGGACGGACCGTCGCCGTTGGATTCCGGGAGCGCCGCGGCCATTTTATTGAGCACGCCGCCGATGTACTCGCGCAGCGCCTGGACGTCGGCCTCGGCCATCGCGAGCTTGGCGCGCAGCTGGGCCTTGGCCGCCTCGTCGGCGCGGGCGCCGTACTCGCCGCGCATCCTCGGCCGCGCCGCGCAACGCCGCCGCGCCGCACGACCCCGCCGAGGCGACCGAGAGCGGCCGGACTGCCGAGCCCCGACCACGACGGAGGCGCACCCCGAGCCCCGACGCCGCGACTGCACGCCTCTCCGATGGCGGGAAAAGTCTTCGTTACTGTCGTACGATTCTCTACTAGGATTCCTATCCTGATACGAACGTCGGAATAATTCACAAGGCCCTTTTTTCATGCGGCCGCCGACTAGGGTCCCTGGGTGGAAGCACGGGCACCGCGCGAGCCGAGGGAACACGTATCCCCAAACGAAAGGCCACCCTTCCACTCCTCGGCCCCGTCGAGCGAGCGTCCCGGGCGTCGGCGGAGCCACACGTCGTCGTGACCAGATATTAAACATGCACGTGCAGCGTTAAGAGGCCGACTCGTGCCGCGGGACGCGGCGCCCCGGTCGGCGGCGGACTAGGGCGTCGCCGCCCTTGGTGGGTCCCTGGGTGGCTTGAGGTCGCTGCGGCGCCACTGCAGGGTGTGCAGCGAGCGCGAAAGCGGCGTGTCCGCCCGCGTGGCGGGGCCGCGGTCCGCGGCGCGTCCAGACGACGCGCGTCCCGACGATGACGCGGTGCGTTCCGACGACGATGCAGAGCTCGCGCTTGAAGCGTCGCTGTCCGAGTCCCCGCCGAGGCCGGTGCTCGCCGCGTCGCCGCCGCCGTCGTCGTCGCAGTCCGCGGGCTCGGGGAGGACGACGATGCGGCCGGTGCTGTCCTGGGCGAGGAGGGCGGCCGTTTGCGGGTCGACCTTTTGCAGGACAGCATGGCAGGCGGTGGCGGTGCGGTCCTGGCGCGCGCACTCGTCCTCCAGCGCCCGGACGCGGTCTCGCCGCGCGGCGCAGCGTTTGCGCGCGCGCTTCTCGCGCGCGGCGAGGCGGCGCGCGCCGTCGTCGAAGGCCGCCTTTTGCCGCGCGAGGGCGTGCTGCGAGTGCAAGAGGTACTGCGCTGCGAGCTGCGTCACCCTGAACGCGCGCAGCGGCCCCGGCGCGTCGTGGGCGGCGTAGCCGTCGTCGGCGTCGCCGACGACGACGTCTGCCAGGAACTCGCGCAGCGCCGAAACGTCGCCGAGGCGCTGCAGCTGCGCCACGTTCGTGTTGGAAATTTTGCGCCAGTCGATTTGCGCCGTCGGCGCCTCGAACGCAAAGGCCCGCACCATCGCGCGGCGGAAAAGGGCCGCTTCGGGAAGCGCGGGCCGCGCGCCGGAAGCGACACGCCACCAAGCGCCGCGCTCGACTCGCACCGCCGGCCCCTACGGCTGTTTCAAATAAGGAAAATCGACATCTAGCAAATCTACAATTGTAGAGGGGGAAGGATATTCACGTATCGAGCAAATCTAGAGGGGGAAGGATATTCACGTATCGACGCGTGTCGTGGACGAGCGGAGCAGGGCGGGGCAGAGCAAGGCGTCGACGAGCAGAGCACGGCGTCGACGAGCAGTGATAAGGAGTCCTCCTTAGATTTCCGTAGGAAATAGACGCCGAGTATACCTGGCGGAGGGAGCGTGTCCGATGAGGGCGCGGTCCTACGGTATAGAAGGATTTCAAGCCCCTCTCTCACGGCTCCTTATCACTGCACGGCCGGCGGCGTACAACTCTCAAAGTTCCGAGAACATCCGGGAAAAGTTTCCGTTTCGAGGAAGGGTCCTTGAAACTGAAATCGAACTCTAAAAGATTGAATCAAATCCTTGCGTAGTTTGCCTGGCTCGTCGATCGGCGGCCGCATCGGGGGGCCTGATGCGACGCCGCGAGGAAGCATTCGGACGATAAAACAAATACATCGAGGACGGTCCCGGGCTTTGCAGCGCTCCGCGACCAAAAGTACAGATGTCTCTCGACTCTCGACTCTCGAGCCCGGGTGTCCAAGGAGGGTTGGTATTCGTGCAAAGGATTATTATCGACGCTGCGTGGTGGAGGGAGGAGTGAATTAACACTCCTGCCTCTGGGCTGCGGCGCGTCGCAGCTCGTAGAGCCCGAGGCCGAGGAAGAACGAGTAGAGCACGTAGTCGACGCGGCAGATCGGCGTCTGCAAAGGCATCGTATCGTCTCGACGCCCGTGCCGCGGCGGAGTCGTGGGCGGCGCGAGCATGGCGTCGGCGCCGACCTGCGCCGTGTGCGCCAAACGTGCCAGCGCGGCCCGGTGCAAAGCGCGCGCGCGGCTCGGCGCCTGACAGCACCCCGACGGCCACAAGAGGCCGCCGCGGGTCCCGAGGACGAGGAACAGCGTCAGCGTCGGCGGAAGAACGGCGCCAGCTCCGCCCTGACCTTCCGCACGGCCGTCTGCGGCTTGCCGAGCGTCTTGTTCCACTGCGAGCCCGTCACGACGCGCAGGAACTTCATATACGCCATGCGTTTCGAGTAGCCGGCGCCGCCGAACTTGATCAAAAAGTCGCTGGCCTCGCGCACAAAGTCGCGCATGCGGGAGCAGCGCCGCGAGAAGCGGATGATTTGGCTCGAGACGACGCCGTGCTGGCACGAGCGCGAGAGCGCCGACTCCGGATGCGGGAACGTCCGGTAATCCTTAAAGAAGACCGCGCGTTGGCCAACGCGTCGCTTGTCGAAGAGGCGGAAAGCCAGCCGTCGAGCCTTTGGGTCCTTCCAGACGTTAAAGTCAAGATAGTTGACTTCGTGGCCGTTCAAACCGACGTCTTCGAGCTCAATCGGCAGCGTGATGCCACGAAAGGAGCGAGGATATAAGCCGTCCACCGTGTGGTCGGAGTAAAGCCACGTCGATGAATCGAGGCCGCCGACCGCGAGGTCGAACCTATCGTCGACGAGTCGCGTCGAGAGCGCGACCGAGATGATCGTGTTGCGAAGCTCCGTGCGGGGCGGGCCGACGGCGGCGGCGGCGTGCCGTCGCGCCAGCCGCAGCAGGAACTTGTACTCGAGCGAAAAGAGCGTCAGGTTTGCGAACGCCACCGAGGCGTTGTCTCCCATGGGGAGGCCGACCCGTTGATGAAATAAGACGCCTCCAAACGTGAAGAAACAGTGCGAGACGACAAAACGCATCCACGCCTTGAGCGTCGTGTTGTCGACGCGGATGTAGTGCTTGCGCATGGGCTCGTCGAGCACCTGTAACATTGAAAAGAACGCCACGTCCCGTCCAACTCTCGACGCCATCGGGACGTACATAAAACACTCGGCGCCGGTGCACCGCGCGTCCAGCCGCGTGCGCTCGCGCCGGTAGATGTGGTCGACTAAGTCCTGGACCTCTTCGATGATCATGTCCTGTGGAAGCAGGGTGTACATGGACTTGACGTCCCGCACCTTCACACTGACACCATCAAAATCAACCACGCCCTGTCCCATCAGCCGGTTGATCAAGCCCAAATGCTGGCCGAACTCCTCGCAGCCG